ATGACAAAGGTTGTCGTCACACGGCCCTCACGATGGCATATACGCAGCGCATCAGTTGAAGCACTTAGGGAGCCTGCAACAAGCAACAAGAGTACTGTAGTACCCCAATCAAACCATTAGCGACCTGCCTCGTGCATCAGCAATCAGCAGCGATGACCATTCCCAAGTCAAAGATGTAACTGCAATCTCACCCGCTAGGCTACGGCAGCAGCCTTCCTTGCAGCCCAGTCACTTCCTTCATATCTCACGTTCATTTCCCATGACGAGGCTGCAATCATGCTGTCTTCAAACACCCATACTTATACCAACGCAGCAATCAACAGTAGGCTTAACACCTGCTATGGTAATCAGCGCAGCCGGAGCAGGCAACAAAATACTCGGTATGGAGTGGTAAGGGATAATACAGTCGTAGAGCCTCCAACCAGTCGTAGTCAGTCAACATAGCAGTCTACCACAAACCCAGCAATCGCTATCGCAATCAACACAGTTGAGAACGGACAACAAAATGTATAGCACTGAATCAACAAGTTGGAAACAACTCGCGATAAGCTTTGCACTTGCTGTTGTTAAAAAGCGTGGCTGAGGTAAGCAGCGAAACACACAACAGTCGAGCAGTAACCCTGAAGTAACCTGTAGCAGCCGCCTATACCAGCATACCAGCCCGTGGCGCTGGTTTGCAATACTCATACATAGTGCGTTTGTAATTGGTTAAGCAGCAAAAGTCCCAGCGTACGTGCAACAACAACTTAATAGAAAAACGCAGGCACGACAATCCCTGCTCTACAGCAGCAGTAAGTGCTTGGAAGCTTTGGTCCCACAACCCGCCAGGCCGGTCTCATGCTACTCCCATCAACTCTGGGAGCTAGGAACCAAGCAAACCTTCCACTGGAACCATGGGAAGGTACATCGCCATACTGAGGTAGAAGTGCCTCACCCCGTTGTCGCCCATCATTGCTTATTACGAAACAAACTGGACAACTACCTACCAGGTAAGTACTCTCTCCTCCCCGCCTTAACTCAGTAGGAATCAGACTTCGCGCCCGACCTCATGCTAGCCCTGCTAACGACGCGAACCAAATCGGATGAACCTTTCGCTAAAACACAGGAAGGTATACTGCCTTCAGCTATACATCCTGAAAAATAGAGGGATATCGTCCCCCTTTGGTGAGATAAGCATCACACCGAACAACAGGTAAGTCCCCAGTCGCTCGACCAGCCACTGCTAAAACATGGTCAGATTCATCCCGCATATTCGAGTTCCACCCTTCTGCTTTCTTGGTCCGGCAACCTCTGATGCCGACCAGTATGCCCGTTATCCCACTACTCTGCTTCAACGCCTATCATTCCTCCTTTCTGAGCCTCAAAGCTCCTCCTCCTCCGAATGTACCCGGGCGACAATCCAGGCCAGGTTCAACCGTCCTTCTTCACCGACTCTCCCTAGTGCCCATATGCGGCACCGTTGCTCCGGCCAGTGTCGCAGAGCTGCCCGACCAACCTCGTTGTATTTCGCTAGAGCACATCACCCATTGCGCTTATCTTCTTGCGGCGCTAACGCTCATCACCCCGCTATCCTCTTTACCATCACCTTTCCAGTAGACGTCACCCCGATCTTTCGATACTGCGCGGCCCGAGAGGTTTTCGAATGCCAGATAGAAAAAGCGTCTGCCCGTCGGATCCTCTTCTTGATTTATGCGCGTCGTCCTTGCTCAGGTACCATGCTAATCTTCTCTGCGTCGTTCCAATTTTAACGGATGCCCCGAAGGACTCAATCGGGGCAGTGTCCCGCGAGGACTGTTACCCGAAACGAGGAAGTAAAAATAATAATAATAAAAAAAAAACAGAAAAAGTATAAAACTTGTTTTTTCTAAGAGTGGACCACTGACACCTTGCCAGTTCCGCAGGTCGGACCCTTCGTCGTGCTTACCAATAAAACCGAGGGGGATAACCCCGTTCGGCCCTCAACCCCTTGGTTTCCTTCATGTTGCTCCGCTGCTCCCACGCCGTTGCCCGCTGGCCTCGACCCCAGCACCTCCGTCCCACTAATCCAACGTCGTAACCTATAAGGCTAAGCCCAAGCCTGAGACCCAGCAGGCGTGAAAACCCAAATAAAGTGGTGTGGTGCCGCATCCATGCCCAAGGACAAGCCCRGGCTTTACCTCCACCAGCGACCGAGTGTGCCACCTTTAAATTCCCGCCCCAGTTTGTGCCAAACCGTCTCATAATCGCCATAAGTGCCGCCCTACTAGTCAAAACTACCATCGGCGAAACGCACAGGTCAAACAAGGCGCAAACTTTCCAATTTCTGTTCTACTTAAATAGTTCAAAAATTTATGCCGGTCAACTTATGTCAATCATCACTATTCAACCCAAAGGTAAAAGATTACCTGCGCGTCTTAAACTTACGCGCACACACACACTCTATCCCGACCAATGTAAGTCACAGACGCGGCCGCGCCTCACGCGGCCTATTCAAACTTGTAATCCAAACTTATTTTCTGTCACTTGCAAAAAGGCGGATACCCTTGTAAGGGTATTCGCTCCGACAGCCTACCGGACCGTATTAAGCGACGTCCCCGTCGCCCCGCAAGATAAAAAACTACCAATTCATCCACATTCCAAATGCTGACCAGAAAGGAACCAATCCGATTAGCCGACAAACTCAGGTTCGAGGTCTCCATCAATCCATGCCAACATAACTATATACTGCCAGGGTTTCAACCTGGGTCTCCACTGTCCTGGCTCTAGGACGCTGGTGTACTACGCATCAGTAGTACAACATAAGTTCCAAAGGCCCTCATAACCATCCTCTCCCCCTTGTCCTAGACAAATGTCGGCTTCTCGTTAAGTGTCCCTAGCCTCTACCTTGCAAGCAGGGCCATAACCAGGGATGTGGGCCCTAACCGAGACCTTTGAAGGTATTCTAGCCTCCCTTTCGAAAATCCTCACAATCAAACGTATACTTATATACGCCCTTAAATCTCCTCTCAGCTCCTTCTGCGGTCTAGTACAAAAGTGTTAGGTCTCCATCTTGGTCCACCATAGTCTGGTTGATCGAGCCAGATCTACGGCCTACCACGTTTGTTATTCAGCGGTAGTGTCTTCGCAAATTTATAAGCATTCAATCAGGACTTCCCAAAATTCTCATATGACTCGACTCTTATCCCACGCTGTTCCGCAGGAGTGAAACCCTCTTAGGCGGCCACACCCTTTAAGTCTTTACTCCTTCGGTAAGACGTGGGTCCGTGGCCAGGTTGTGCCGGTCAGCAGCCATCCCTAGGGGTTACGCCCTCGTGGTGCTAAAGCTTTACCGTTTAACTTGGTCTTCCTTATATGCCTAAGATTAACACAAGTGGTTGGGCGGTGTGTCGCAACACTACAGGTCTATTGCGGGACTACGCATAGGCCTATCACACATAAAAGGTATTTACCAGTCCTCTATGGGACAACACAAAGAAAACATGGCAACCTCTCCACATTCACAAAACAGAATCACCGCCAGATTCACAAGACCGTGACCTCCCAACTTGATCAGGGTAAGAAGGTCTCACATCTTAATGGCATCTCTAAAAATCAAACCGTTTTGCGACAGTCCTGAAAATTTCACCAAGTGGCCAACAAATCCAGGTTCCTCTCGTCAGTCTTTATCTTCCCAAAATTTAAATCTATTAACCACCTTTCATGCAAGGGGGGTCTCACTCAATAGGTCTCCCAACCATCCCCCTCTCTCTAGGATGAACTCTCACATGGCCTTTGTAAAACATCTTCTTTTCGTGAAGATGAGTCTCCCAAATAAAGCATAAGACTACTCTTTTACTCAAAAGGTGTCTTAATCATAAAACAACACAAACTGAGAGACCAACTTATGGGCCCTCAACACAACTCAAACAATAAACATTCGGCATGGTAAGCATTCGAGTCTCCAGGACTCATAAATCCTTTAGGATCCTCATATTTATTTTACAAAACAAAATGTACTCCCCCTTCTTATACTCGGCCCCATCATCCGCCCATGGGCAGATCGCACAAGTATACCGAAGAGTAGACAGTTCACACCCATCCACAATCACAAAATACGAGCATATGAGATGTTTGTCACACATGCTTCACGCAAACCATCATACATCAGGAAAAACCACACATGTGAGAGTGAGAGTGATCGTCACACACAAGGAAGTAGTCCCCAAATCTTTACTCAGTATATACTCAAAAATAGAATGTCTCTAAAAAACCAATATTGGTACTCAACGCCCTGTCCCTCTCATGCCAGCAGACTCATGTCTTAAGTGTTTTAACTCTCAAAACACTCTTAAAGGTACAAGTAGAACCCGAGTCATAAAAAACGAAAATGTAAACCAAACATTTCTGAGTATCACACAACTGAATCCTATCTCTTGAGTCGTGACAAGAAAAATCTCAAAGCTCTATTGTACACTATTCTCTATTTATGTACAGGAAACCAAGACACATGTATCTGACTTATGGTATCTACATCTCCGACTTACTCTTTTATGTACAAAGATATCTTACTTCTAAGGACGTGTAGACAAACCAACCCCTACCCACTCATCTCCTCCTGGTTTTGCCTATACAACTGAGTTATACCCCCATCTGGAGCTCTCTCCACCACTCGAACTTGCCTATCGTACATCTTTCCATCCCTCTCAGTAACTCGTCCTGCGGCCTTATCCTCGAGGAACTTTGGACATTCTAGGGCCATGTGCATACCATCCAGAAAGTAGAAGCACATAGCCTCCGACTTTCTCTGAAACTTCCTCTTCTTTTTCTGGGCTCCTGACAATGGGAGTATCTCTCCTGTCTCCCTGCCCACCTCGTGACTCTTAGGCAGGTGTCATGGCCCCTTAACCCTCACCCCAAATCCCTGAGCACTCGGCTCCCCTTGCCCCTCACTTCCCTCGGGCCTGTACTCGGGAGTATCCAACCTCAGTGGCCTGTCCTCGTGGGTCCTCTCTGTCACGGCCACTTCCTCACTCTCACGAAGCTCCAAAGTCTTGGCAGTAACTGCCCTTGCAGGTTGGCTCGTGGCCTCTTGCTGCTGTCGCTCAGTGGCCTGCGCTCCTGAGTTAGTCCCAGTGGCTCAGGAGCCCAACTGTGCCCTCAACTCCCTTATTTCTGGCACATGCTCCAGGGTCTCTATTCTCTGAGGCCTCTCTGACGGCATATCTACCTCCATGGCAGCCACCAACTCATCTAGACGTGACGACTCTCTCCCTTGTGCCTCAGACTGAGGAGGTGCCACTGCCCCAGTGAGGGTCCCCTCCTGCACTTCCAAAAGGATCGTGAGTGACTCCTCTGCAACTTCTTCCTCAACAGGTGCAGGCTGAGGTTCCTGAGTTGGCACCTCTATAGGGGCCTTTGCTGAAATAGGAGCCTCTTGCCGCGAGGCTAACTCAGTGGGGGCCCTAAACTCAAAACTTCCCTTGTTAGCCTCTCTTCTCGCCTCTGCTTCAACCGGGTCCAGGAACACTTTCTTTAACTTTTCCTGCTGAGATGTCTCTGCCGCCTCTCCCTGTCCAAACAGTCCCTGCATCCCTTCACCTCGAATGCCATATCTGCTCTGTTCAGTCCAATCGACCACCTTAGTGGCCGAAAATCTTTCCACTGCAGTTGACATCTCCTTGAGTTTTTTCTCCCACTCAGCTTCTTTTGCTTCCAAGCGAGCCCTCCAGGCCTTGTTTTCAACCCTTTCTTCCGCAAGCTGAGCAGTCAATTGTTCCACCTCTCCCTTCTTGATGGCCAGCTCGTCACTAAGTAGGGTATACCTATGGAAGGATGTAGTTGCTGCTTGGCATATCCTTTTGTCCACCCGCGCGATAGCCATCATGGCGGCAGAAAATCCCAGTCCCCCAATCTCTATTGCCTCATCTGCCTTCTCGTCCGCCTGCCCTGCCTCTTGTGACCTCTGGTGAGCTGCCTCCCTTCGACTCTCATATCTGGCCCATAACTCATCAATCCTCTGCTCACTCGTCCTGGGGTCAACTGGTTCATCCTTTCCTTCATCTCATATATCTCGGCAAGGCGGGCCTGTACCCTGGCAGACTTTGCCTTTGCAGTCTCCCCGGACGCCCTTTCCATCCTTATTTCACGGACCTCTTTGGCTGGAGCATGCACACCTATCTCTGACTCGATGTGCAGTGACCCTGATGATGGCCCAACTGAGATAGTCACCCCAATATCAGCATGCTCAGATGCATGTGCAGCTAAGCGTGAGTCAATGACCGCGCGAGACTCAACCCACCATCCTTTTTCTGGCCTTCTTATCTCCGTCTCCCGCCTGTGTGATATAGTGACCTCTGGCGGGGGCGCTGGAATCTCTTCGTTATCCGGCTCAGGGACTCCCTCCGGCCAAAGCTGCCGCACTTGCTCTGGAACTGGGGTATGAAGGGGAATATCACCCACTATCGTAATGACCCCCTCGTCATGCAACTCCTTCTGCCTGCGGGGCTCAGTCTTCAGCTCAGGGCGTGTCGGCTCCTCCGTTGGTGGATCTGCTGGGCCCATCCCCATTGGGAAGCATCAAGATGGGCTTCCAGACTCCTGAACGGAGTCTTTGATGGTCCACTCTCTCCCTGCTCTGACGATCGCAGCGAAGGTCCCTGTAGGTCATTACTAGTGACCTGATGGAACTCCACCTGCCTGGGTCTGCAAGCAGGGAAAGACTCTGCCGCCTGAGCAAGCCCTGCTCGCCCTCCTTCCCGCTGCGCCAAAGCCTTCCGACCTCCCCTGGTCATAATGGGCTCTCTCGGCTCCAGATCCCTTAGTCTCTTACTCCTTCGCCTCCTATCCACCCTGGGCTCAGGCCTGTCGGGTTCTGGCCGCTGAAACGCCTCTCTCAAATGAGCCTGGCAATCTTCCCAGTCACGCGCCCTATCCCGGATCTGCCTTGCCAGTGGTCTCTCTGCCCTCTTGGTCCATATGAGTAGAGTTTGCATCCACTCATCCCTCTGAACTCCCTGATCACTCATATACCGCTCATACGCTGGGATGAACTCTTCCACATTTCCCTCCTCCAAACGAATAGGCAACCCATCACGCCCCATAGGCGAAACTCTCAATCTCTGCATCCTTGTCTCCACCTCTGGCAAGGTCAACGCCTCCTCCCTGATTTGTGCAATAGGCTCTTCAAATCGCCCAATCCCTCTCAAATGTTGTATCCTCTCAGGTACGTCCTACCCTCTCTGGGTCGCGTTGTCGGACCAAATACCCTTACAAGGGTATTTGGCTATGCTTTTGCATTCGACACGATGACGGCGTCGGCTACCATGATGGAGCCAGTCTGGAATGGAAAGGGTGTGCACGCTTTGGCGTGACACTGTAAATGAATTCCTCGGCCAATAAGGCCGGGGCGAATCAGCGAGAAAATTTTGAGAGTATGAGCACGCGTTATTATGACGCGCGCTGTGATGGTTAGGATCAATAGTAATACCCCTCGACAGAAGAGGTCGAGGGGTCAGTTGGGTTAATGTTGTGTCAGGTAGATCTACGACACGCACTGAGACTTAGTCTAGTACCTGTCTGTCTTCCGATACCAGGTATTCTAAAACTTTTCGGCTTTTGTTTTCCCCGACTCGGCCTCTGAGTTGAGTAACCGATGCAATCTACCTCAATGAGGTGTGACACCGACCTACCTACTACTTGAATGTTGTCCGTCACGCTCAAGGTACGGCGGATCTCTTTCCCGCCACTTGGGTTTTTCCTGTTGCGACCCTCGAATGTCGCGGCCATAGCCAGGTACCGGCCTGCCTGCCGCTAGAATGTTTCTTCGCCACGATCCTCAAAGGGGCGCGGCCATAACTAAGTACCAGCCTTCAGGCCTACCGGCCCACCAACTGCCCTTGGGGGCGCGTGCATACTCAAACCGACGGACGGGCACACTGACTGGCAAGCGTGCACAAGCACGCAGGCTAAGAAGATCAGATCAACTACGTCTACGTAAAGGGAGGTGGCTCTTTACCATATTGTGGTAAGAGCTAGCCTAGTAGGTAGAGGAACGGATTGATAAGCAAGGGACACTGGGATCGAATCCGACCTGCCTCCGGGCTAGCTCTTTGTGCTAGCTACAAAGGGGCGGGGCCTGTTTTTTTTACTCGCCCTCAGACAGGTGGGACTCGAGCCCACGACCTTACAGGTAAGAGTTAGTAAGGTTAGTTCGTTAGAACCGAGTGTCGTAGGGCTCCGACACTTGGCAAAATTGGAGGAGATTGCAGGAGGAATCTCGTAGATTTGTTATTACGGTTTTCTGTATTTTAATTTTAGATTTTATTATTTTTCCTTTTTACTCGTTTTTTTTGTTGTTGCCCTCGACGGCCTACCTGCCCCGAGGTGCCCAAATCAATCGCGCCCCAAACTACGGGCAGATTCACCTAGTAAGGGGGCCACCCGATTGCAGTCGGTAGAATTCCGTCGCGGGGCGGGGCAATACGAGCGCGGGTGTACAGCGACGCAGACAAAAGAAGGGATGGGAAGGAGTACGTGCAAGCAACGCAAAGGGTGAGCGGCGATCGCAAACGGAGAAGGAAGCATTGGCGAGAAAAGAGGAGGCGGAAGGAGGAAGAGGGAAGGAGAGAAGGAGTGAGAAGAAAAAAAGTAGGAGGAGAGAGAGAGGAGGAAGGGAAGAAAACCTTACCTGATCCGGCAAACGAGCACGGCAGCGACGACGAACCCGACAAAGACGAACGGCAGGTGTACTAGAAGGCGAATGTGAAGACACACGAAAGGGAGAGAAGGGAGCGAGATAGGAAAAGAAGAAGGAAAAGGAAGGGAGGAGTAAAGAAGGGAGCTTACCTGACTGAGCAACGACGACGACGGATCGCCAAAGACAGCGGTTCCGGCGACGACGGTGACGACAACGAGGAGCAGGAGAAAATAACGGATGAGTCCTGTTCCTTGCAACCAATCCCGATACTCCCATCGAATAGAATAAAAATAATAATAATGATATAAATCATATAATAATATTAATAATAAAATCGAATAATAAATAAATAAATAAAACCAATGAATCTACCACTAAATGTGGAAAGATTCACTTCACTCTAAAGTGTGTGTGGGTATCTGTATGTGTGTGAGTGTGTGCGAGAGAGAAAGAGCGTGTAAGTCTCCAGCAACCGCGGCTCGCCGCACACTACTTGGATCGATAGGATGAGCAAATCAAAAAGTGTCAGTGTATATTTCCACGTTTCAGCGGAAGATTCATTCCGTTTTTGCTCATCCTATCGATGGAGTGTGTGTGCGTGTGTGCGTGAGAGAGATGCGAGAGAGAGGGAGATGGAGAGGAAACCAAAGGGGAGGAAGGCAAAGGCGAGTGCACAGATGGAGTAAGCAAGCAGGAGAGGAGGAGAGAGAGAGAGAAAAAAAGTTCTTCTTCTTCCTCTTCTAAGTCTATCATCTTTTCTCCTCCCTCTCCCTATCTGACTTCTCGGTATCTGCGGACTAAGAGAGAGAGAGAGAGAGAGAGAGAGAGAGAGAGAGAGAGAGAGAGAGAGAGAGAGAGAGAGAGA